TCGAGACATACAGTGATCCTTCAGGATATTTCATAGTGGTCATTCGGTACAAAAATTTCACAGCCCCTAGTGGGACCCCTTACAAGCTGTGGTGACAACATAGTGCACAACCTCAATAGACTCACATATCTACAGTTCTCATAGGTGTACATGGGCTAATAAGAGATAACATTGAATACAAAGTATGTGATATATATATATATATGTTTTGTGATATAAATTATATGATATGATATATGTGTGTGTTAATGATTATTGTATATGTTATAAGATATATGATGATATGAACATAATAGATCATATAAACAAGAGAATAGAAATATGAATGATAATAATATGATAATGATAGGAAAGAAGATAATTATACGCATGTGTGGATTTGATATATGAATGGATATATGTTTGGGTATGATGTGATAGCAGTAATTGTTCTTGCATGATTACAAGTTATAGTTTACATTATATATTTATTGCCTTACTAAGTCATAGACTTAACGTGTAAGTGATTTACACGTAGGTTTCAAGAAGAGTGAAGAGCAATGTGGAACAAGACAGGTCAGTTCTCCTTATTGAAAGTCAGATCAAAAGAGAGGTGAATAATATGTATTTTAATATATAAAGTTCTAGTTGGCATGTATTCAAAAGAATATATTGTATAAGCTCTGAATAGTTCTATAAACGTTTTGAATAAGTTATATGTTATAAAAGTTTTAAATGACTCACTATTTTATACAAGTAAATGTTTTGAAAAGTCAATGTGACACCTCGGACTCGTATTTAGTTTTTAATAGGTTGGGAGTGTTACATTTAGCACGATTCAACACTTCTTGAAATGAAGATAAATTCATCACAATAAGCATCTATTTCAAACGAGGACGCAATCCCTCAACAACCACTCGCAAGCATCATTCTCTGTAGGAATTAACTCAGCAGCGAAGCAGCTTAACTTGTTGAATTCACATTCATACTCATACACTGTACGATTTCATTTCTTCAGATTCATGAACTCTTGCTTCATTTGTCGGATTAACTGATCTTCGATATATTTATGCTTGAACTCTTTAAGAACAAGGACCAAGTTACATGATCACTTGTAATTCTCAAGGTAATATTGGTCCACCAAATCATTGCTTGCCCTCGGAGCAAGGAGACTACTCCATCATTCTTGTCAACATCAAAACAATGAAGTCCTTCAAGCATAATTTTCACGTCATTAAGCCAAGGTCTGCAGCAACATGACCTTCTTCGACTTCACCTCTAAACTCTGGTGCTCTTAAACCCTTCAACTCCTTTGCTACATTCATTCTCGGAGTTGAAGTAGTAGAAGGTTGGAAACGCGCCAAGACAGTGTCCAGTGTTCTGAAGAACACATCTTGACCACTCACAGGCACTCCAGAGGGTGCCTGATCTTCACTTTGCCTGGCCAGGGCAGGTGAATTACTACTTTCAGCGGCCTATCGTCTCCCACTTTACTTATAGAGCTACCATATCCGGACATCTATAAAAACATACCCATATCATTCTATTAGTAAAACAACATACTTACTATTATATCAGATCAGAAGTTTTCACTATTTTGGTGGCATATATACTTTATAAGACTCTTAGACTTCAGTTTATGCCGAGAATCGACTAAACCGTAGCTCTGATACCATTAAATGTAACACCCCCAACCTATACCCGACTCAGATACGAGTCTGAGGTGTCACATTGACTTTTCAAACTTTGACTCTTGACGAAAAACAAGGAAATTTAAAACTTTCATTAAAATAACATTGTTACTTTATATAAGTTAACCAAAACAGGACAAATTCAATCAGAGCATTCGTAACTAACACTTTTCTTACACGCCAACACACTATACACAATCAAAATACATACTTTCTTAGTTACTTCTAATCTGATCTTCTAGCAATGATACCATTCTTGTCACCCCTATTTCTGCTCTTCTGAATTCTTGGTACCTACGTGTAAATCACTTACACGCTATGTCACAAACTTAGTGAGGCATAAAATAAACATACAACAACAATATCATGAATACAAACTACTATCAATCCACTAAGACATTGCAATGCACCTGTAGATATCCCATTATGACATATAAGTATGATATGCATGAATGAACAATTATGTGTCATAAGAGTTTTCCTTTAATTTATCTTTGAATACCCATGTACATTATTGAGAACAGAAGGTACGCGAGTACACTGAGGTTGTGTACAATGTTGTCACCACAGCTTGAATAAAACCCCACTAGGGGCACTGAATATTTGTCCCGAATGACCACTATGTCCGAAGAACCATTGATAATCCTTCGACTCTTGGCATGCCAATTATACATACAACTCTCATATTAAATAACATGGGCTTAATTACCAATACCTTTCCATTTCATATATCTTTCATCACTGTCCATATAAACACATAAGTCACTTCATATGATCATTTTCATTATTTAACATACCTAGAAGGATTCTCTGATAATGACATTCATTCATATAATATCATGTTAAATCATGAATGAATTATGCATGGAATCACTATAACATTAACACATATATATGTATACATGTGCATGAATATGGAATCATAAATTCAATTATAGGAGATAGACTTATCGCAAGTCTTATCTCAATACAATTCTATCTAGGATATGCACTCACCTTAGCCTTGCTTGATTTAACTCGATCTTAATCCTTCGATTGTTTCGGAACAAGCTTACGTTCGCTATCTACATAATTATACATTTATAGATATTAGTAATCCAATTGTATACTCTAATCTTCTAATTCTTAAGCTAAAGGAAATGTAATTTCTACAACAATCTGAAAATTTCATCTTAAGAGAGGGTATCGATACCCTTATTGCATTCTGAATTTTTCCGTTCAAGGGGGTATCGATACACTTTCATAGGGTACTGATACCCTCTGCCCATAAATTACATTTTGAGCATGAAATTTGCTTCCTTTTTAGCTCAACACTTCATATTTCACCTCCTTTAATATCTCTAACTTGCATACACCTACTTAGACTAATATATACCAATTCAATACCTCTTAAACTTAAAAATCCAATCCTCCACATAGAATTCAAGAATCTCACTCAAATTCTAACATTTCTAAATCTAATTCTAACACTTCAAATTCCTTAATCAAGTTGGTGACAAGTCAAATTCAACTTCAAATTCTCATTATGAACTTTATTTCAAAATTTCATTCAAGAACTCTTAACCTTTAATTCTTCCTACACCCTTTATCTTGTTGTTTTAAGATAAATTCAGCTTTTCTTAAGCTTAATTATCTTCTAATGATCAAAACCAAACTTAAATCTCAACTATTAATCAACTAATAAGAATTCTTACCTTTACCTTGGCTCACACGCACAAAGAAGAAATGAGGAGAAGAGTTGTCTGGAAGCTTGGATATTTGCTTCCTCTCATACTCGTGGCCTCCATATATATCTAACCAAATTTAATTATTTACTAACAAAATGGCCATGTTGTCTTTCCATTCTTCATTCATTGAAATTTGATCATACACAACATTTTCATATAAGTCCTTGAACTAATCAATTATTCTACTTAAATTACCAAATTCCATAACTTTACAATTTAGTCACTAACTCGGTATTGAGAATGTTACAACATGGACCCCGAGAACTATTTACCCGCAGCAGATATTACACTCAAGCCCTTCTCTCAAAATGATACCATTTGGGGAGGGGTATAAATAGGCCGAATTAGTCCCTAAAGAGGCTAAAGAGAGAAAATCTCTCACATCTCTCTAAAATCCCCCATTTCTTCCTAAACACGAATTCAACAACCTTTTCCCCTAAAATACCCTAAATCGCAGTAGATCTAAGGAAATATACCTTCTAAGTTCAACTTTCCGACGACGCTTGGGCTCTCTGACGATAGTAACGCTTCCTCTTCTTTATTTTCTCAATATTTTGATAGTTTGGTTGTTGTTTATTGGGGTGGTTGCTTTGTTATTGCTATTTGTTGTTTGCAGGTTTACCCTATTTATAGGGTTCTTCGAGTCCCTTTTTGGACTGGTTAATGGAGTGTACCCCGGTGAGTCACCAGAGCTACGGTGGTGACTCACCCGATAGGTGGTGAGTTGTGCGGTAGAGAGACTGGGTGCATTAAATGCACTCAGATCTTGTAAATCCGATGAGGATGTGGCATCTACGTGGCTACTGTTGGTTAGAGCATTCGGCGATGGAGGCATAAGACCACTATGGCAGTGACCGGAATAGCCCTAGGGTTGCAATGAGTACCATAGGGTTTTACTGGTTGCACTTGTAACCGTTAGATTTGCTACAGGATCGGACGACTGAGATCTGTACGGCACTAGAGATGAGATGAAACCCTAGACTGAACTTGGGTTTGCTTATTGGGCTTGTTGGGCTGTTCGGGTCAAGTCTGGGCCTGAACCGGGTCTTGATCTACTAGGACTTGGTTGAATTAGGCTTCGAGGTTTATATTTATAATTTGGGCCTTCGGGTTGTAATTGGACCTGTAAAATTATAAAAATTAATTATAAAATAATAATATAATAATATTATTATATTAATATTATAATACTTATAACAAATCGGGATTCAGAAGAAAATGAATGTCGATAGAAGTCTCATGTTGGTCCTTGAACATTCAGCGAGACTTGGAATGGAAGTAGACCTCGGTTTATTGGTTCGATTACGACTACATATGCCTGTTGACATTAGGGTGTAACCCGAAAACTCTGTCGGTCGAATTCCCAGTTTCGAAAACCTTGAAGGCATTTGATGAAGTAGAGAAGGCTTTATTTTTTAGGAACATTGTGCCTAAAACGTTCTGGAGATTGCTGAAATGGCTTCAAATTGGCGAGGAGAAAAAGATTAGCAAAGGGTTGAAAATAGTGGATGAGTTTATGTATAATTGTATTTAATTGAGAAGATAAGAGTTAAGAAGATTGAGGTCGGAGGTCGATGATCGGTTCGACTTGTTGACGGCTTTTATGGTGGAAGAAAGATCAAATATGAGCGAGTTGGGAAAATCAAACAAGTTCCTAAGAGACGCTGCATACAATTTCATAACAGCAGGAATGGACTCTACAAGCGTTAACCTCACATGGTTTTTATGGCATATCTCGACACATTTGTCGGTCGAAAACAAGATTTTGGAAGAGATAGAAGCCAATTGTCCAAAAAGAATTGATGGGGAGATAGTGTATTTTAGTGGGGAAGAGCTTAACAAGTTCGTTTATGTACATGCTGCAATGTGTGAGACAATGAGACTGTATCCAACATTACCTTTGAACAACAAATCGTCGGTCGAATTAGACGTTCTTCCCAATAGCGGTCGTATCGGTCCAAAGCACGAGGATGCTTATATCAATGCACTCCATGGGAAGAAGTGAAGATATATGGGGTGAAGATTGCTTGGAATTCAAGCCAAAAAGGTGGATTTCGGAGGACATAAAGATCGCCTTTAAACCGACATCCATGTTCGTGCCGTTCGGGGCCGGACCAAGAGTTTGTTTAGGCAAGGACTTGTGTTTCAAAATGATGAAGATAGTGGTCATCAATATTCTTCGAAATTACCAAGTCAACTTGGTGGAGAACCAAAATATTGTGACGAGCAGCAAATCCATTGCACACCACACATCATGGATTGAAGGTTAGGATAAACAAAAGACAGTAATTGTGTGAAATTTATAATAATCTTCCATTGGAATTGGAAGGCGTGAGTGATTTCATTAATGTCAAAACAAAAATCATTTGTATTGTCAGTCGTATGCTTCAATTCATTAATAAATGTACTGTCAAGGTTATTTCTACATGGAAAAGCTTTGTAGAATGATTTTACAAATCGTTTCCAAAATAAATAAATGATATGTAATGGACTTAAATTTGACAATTCAAATTTAATATTGTTAATAATTGGACACAAGTTTTTTAAATCTTTAAAATAAAGTGATGGGTTTTTTTATGAATAGTTTAAGGTGATTTCAATATAGTATTTGTTCATAATATTTCTTAATCGTAGACAATATATACACACCTTACAACTATAGGTATTGGAACCTAGAACCTTGAGTAAGAACAACACAACCACTTAGGTCACTCAATGTGTTCAAAATGATTAAATTCTTAAAAATAAACGTGGAAATATTACACTCTTAAGTATATGACTTATTTAAATTGAAATTGTAACATTAATTAAATCATGTCTTGAAATAAATATATTTTAATGGATGTTAATATTTAATGTTAGATCAATGAAGGCATAATATCAAAATAATTAAATTAGCTCTTAATGATTATTAAAATGGTTATTTTTGTCTTTATTTTGTTTAGTATCATGGCCTGTAATGTTTTATTTTGGGCAAAAGGAGCTCTTCATGGATGTGAACCATTAGTTAATAAACGGTTAAGACTAAAAATAAGGAGTTTTATCATAAAATGAAACATTGAGCCTCCAAAATGCTTCAAAATAAAAGAATAATGATCAAAATAATTATTTAATCAAACATTAAGAGTTTTTTTTATCTTAAAATGAGGCGTTAGGAGTCAAATTGCTCCAAAAAATAATAGAAGTAAAAAAGATTATTTTGATAAACATCGAGATTTTATTTTGACATTATGCCATCATTGAAATAGTTAAATAAAAATATTTAAATAATAAAGAAAATAAGGAAAGTTAAAATTAAAAACAAAATATTAATTGATAATCATTAAGTTAATTGAACATGAGATATAATAAGTAAAGAGTAAGGAATTAAGTTCATAAGTTGTATAATAAATTTAAGGTAAATAACTGTTAGAAAGGGTTTTTAATATATTAATATATGGAATGATAAAAAAAGTGAAATCCTAACAATAAAATTAATATATGTGTAATCTCAATAATTAAATGTTGTGTTATATTTTATAGAGATTTTAAGTTTAAATAATTAAGTATGCATAATATATATACATTGTCAATACTTAAAAAAATATAAAAAATATTACTTTATAATACTATAAAAAATAAACTTTATATAATTCAACACTTAAAGCTAATGTTGATGGTTTTTGAAACATGACCAACATGAGTAGGAATAGATCGAGGGATGAAAATAGTCATCATTTTAAAATTCAAAATTATCATATATTTTAGATTTTTTATATATTTTTTTATAAAAATCTATTTTCGGCCTCTAAACTTTTATAAATTCATCATCTAATATAATTTTTTACGTTCGTACCCGTACATGGCATTCAACTATGGTTTTTACCTTATAATGTTGGGCATCTTTAAAAAATGTTTACTAAATATAATTATATAATTATAATTTTATTATTTGACAATAATTTCGTGCACTCACGAATAATGTAAAAGGAAGTGGTAATAATAATTTCATGCATCTTCTTTTTCCTTCGGTAAGAACTTTTTTTTAAGAAATATTATTTTACTATTTAATAAAATATTTTTATTCAAATATAAAATTAAATATTATTTTTTTCTTTATCTTAGATAAATACAAGATAATATTTATTCAAAAATTTTATTTATTTAATAATAAACGCTTATACATCAATACAAATGTTGTGCTTGAATTTAAAATCTCAAAAATAATAATTTTTTAATCATTTAATTTTTTTGATTTGTACAAATATTAAAATTTAAATATTGATAATGATATCTTTTACCCATTGTAATAGTACAAAAAAATGTTATTTGTGGGATCAAATAAAATTTAGATTGGAGTTTGAAATTTTTTAAAGCCGACTGGAAAATTCAAAATCGATCCGTTAATCAGAATTTAGGGTTTAGAGAGGGTTTATTTTTTGCTTTAACACATTTCTCTCTTCCGTCCCGCACTTGCTTTTTTCAGTCGGTCCTCGACATCAATTTCCCGCCCACATTCTCTTCTACTAATTCCCAAGATCTGGTCTTCTCTCACTTAGGGTTTCATTTAACAAAGATGGTGTCGCCGAAGCAACTCCTCTCCATTATCGAGTCTTCTCTCCTCAGTCCTTCTCCTCCGTCTCCGGCGCAGCGAATCGAGCTCCTTCACGCCATTCGAAGCTCCCTTTCATCTCTCAAATCTCTCCTTTCCTATCCGGTTTTTTCTTTCTCTTTCCTTTTTTTCTACAATTTGTCCAAAAGCCTTTTATTTTAGTTACTACCATTTTTCGTTCCTTTATTGATACTTTTAAATTTTGCGGGTTTTGTAGCCCCCGAAACCCTCCGACCGGGCGCAGGTTCAGTCCAAAGAAGTTAGACTTCCGGATTCTTCGCCTATCTCGCTTGACGACCAAGATGTTCAAATTGTCAGTTGAATTTCGCTTTAAGGCTTTGCCATATCTTTTCTATGTTTTTGCATTTTTTTTCTTAAGAAAAAGAGGCGTTGATTTTTGTTTCTTCATTTTATTAGAAATTGGCTTAAAAGCTTGGTGAAATACTTTAAGTCAGTGTAACTTAATTTGGTTCCTCGATGGAAAGGGACCTACTATTTGCAGCACACGTGTTTGTTTATTTTCATTAGTCCGTTTACCAACCTTGAAATGGTTCCATTGGGTTCACTTTTAGGAATTTCTTCACCGTGGAAAAATATTGACTTGATATGACGCCATTGTTAGAACTAAGTTGATTATGCCATTTTTTCTTATCATCTGCAACGCTATTTCTTTTTACTTGGCGCTACATTTGATTGTAGGCATTGAAATTGAGTGATGACCTACATCTAAACGAGATAGATTGCATTCAATTGCTTGTTTCTGCCAACCAAGAGGTATATCTATTTCTTTTTTTATCTGTGCAAATGTTTAATCTATGTGGTTTCCTGCTTGTACTGTTGTACACTAATGGTTGTGTTTGGGTTTTTATGTTTTCTTATGAAAAATTTTTCAGTGGGGCTTAATGGGGCGAGGGCTGCAAGAGATTTTACGCCTTGCAGCGGGACTTTGGTATTCTGAGAGGCGAGATATAATGATGGCTCTCTATACGCTTTTGAGGGCAAGTCCCTCTCTAATGCCATTTTGCTTCACTTGGTTGCAACTTTGTTTTTTCATCTTTTGTTGTTGTTTTTGTTCTGAGAACTATTAATTTCCTTTTTGTAGGCTGTTGTGCTTGATCAGGGCCTTGAAGCTGGTCTTGTGGCTGATATTCAGAAGTATCTGGAAGATCTTATCAATGCTGGACTTAGACAGCGATTGATTTCTCTAATAAAGGTGTGAAAATTTGTAAAACTGTTGCTTTTGTAGTTTGCCTTCTAAGAATGGGTAAGCTATTTTGCATTTATCCTTGGTTTTCTATGAGTCATATGTAAATTCAACTTCTTCTCGATTGTTAAATATTGTCCAATTTTGCGAGAACTGGCAGGTCATTATTGCAAGTATTTGTATTTTGTCTAACCATGTTCAGACATTTTGAATGGTTCAACATTTGATATGATCATTATTTTTGGATTTTGTGATGGTCTTCATTTGATCAATCCATTACAATTTTCTTGATAAGATGGAACAATTGTGTGAATATGTATGTCTATAAGATATGCGGTTTATTTGAGAATCATATGGTTTAATGGTAAACCTATAAGTTATTTTCCTTCATTTTTATTGGTAAACTATACTTGAACTACTTCTTATAGAGCTAAGGAACTATATGGAACATGCCCAATGATGGAGATAACCTCAAGTATGATCTTCTTTCTGGTGGATTTGATGGATTGATCTCCTATGCTAAATAATGTACCTATTTCTATGAGCATTTAATGAGTACATTATATTGGAAAAATTTCCAAGTGGAGTTAGTTGTAAACTAGTTTTAGAGAACCGTATAGTGTTGCCACCTGGTTGGTTTAACTTGCTTTAAATCTAACCTTTTTATGAATACAATGGCATTTGTTGTTGAAAGTAATATTGTTGAGATTTTTCCTGATTGTCAACTTGATGTATAGTTTGAGTAATATAACTGAACTTGAACCCACCCTTTTTGCATTTTTATTTTACGAAGTAGTAAGTGGTATCAGGTTATAGGTTATGACATTATTTTTGAGAACATTCATCATTTCCAAAGATGCTATTTGTTTAGTTTTGTCTTGTTTATCTTTGGTGAACCCTAGCTGATCGATTTTAGCGTAGGTTAATAATTTTTCCCTTTTGGTGTTAAATATTAGTTTTCCTCTAATATTTTTCTGTATGGTCTTGTAAATGCAATTTATTTTCTTCTACTTTAGGAACTCAATCGGGAAGAACCAGCTGGTTTAGGTGGACCTCTCTCTGAACGTTATCTTCTTGATTCTAGAGGTGCTCTTGTTGAGCGACGAGCAGTGGTCTGTAGGGAGCGACTTATACTTGGGCATTGTCTTGTCCTTTCTATTCTAGTTGTGCGGACAAGTAAGCAGACAATTCAATGGACTTATTCTTTACC